ACCTTGTTCCTTTTCTCAGAACACTACGGCCCAGGAAAACTAGCAGTAGCGGCTGTCGATCGAAATTCATCGGCAGTCGCGCATTCATGTCGTTTACATGTTTACGATAACAGATTAAATTTTAACTTTTTGATTGATTCGGGCTCCGATGTTTCATGTGTGACACCGACTTCTAAGTTTAAGAAAATGCATCCTGATTCGCTTCAATTATTTGCCGCGAATAATTCCAGAATTTCTACGTATGGAACAAAATTGTTAACTGTGAATTTAGGACTTAGACGAAACTTTTCGTGGAAGTTTTTAATCGCCGATGTACCAGTGCCTATAATAGGAGCCGACTTTTTAAGGCATTTTGATCTTTTAATCGATTTAAAACGAGGTAGGCTTATCGATAATACTACGAAATTAACTCGTATTGGTTCTCTTTCCGATTCTAAAAATTATTTTTCGGTAAAGTTAATATCTTGTGATTCACCATATCACAGAATCTTGAAAGATTTTCCGGACGTACTGAAGTTAAAATCCGATTCGGGTAGAGTAAAGCATAGTACGGTTCATTACATCGAAACAAACGGTCCTCCTGTGCACAGTAAACCGCGTAGGTTAAGCCCTAAGTTATACGAAGCAGTAAAAAAAGAATTTCAATTTATGATAGATCAAGGTATTTGTAGACCATCAAAATCAGCATGGTCATCACCTCTTCATGTAGTTTCTAAAAGTTCGGGCGACATACGGCCAGTAGGAGACTACCGAAAACTAAACGCGTGCACCGAACCCGACAGATACCCTATCCCGCATTTACAAGACTTTAATAATACGCTTAGCGGAAAGACAATTTTTTCAAAAATTGATATCGTTCGGGCATATCATCATATACCAGTCCATCCAGATCATATACCGAAAACTGCAGTTTGCACCCCATTTGGTCTTTTCGAATTTCCGTTTTTAAATTTCGGACTGTGCGGAGCAGCTCAAACCTTTCAAAGGTTTATGAACGAAATTCTTGGAGATCTAAAATTCGCCTACGTCTACTTAGATGATATTTTGATATTTAGTGATACGGAAGATGAGCATAAATCTCACCTACGTACTGTTTTTGAAAGATTAACTTCATATGGATTGACAATTAACGCTTCGAAATGTGTTTTCGGCGTTCCGGAAATATCTTTTTTAGGCCATATAATCAATAAAGATGGTACCAAGCCTCTGACGAACAAAGTGGAACCGATACTTAACTACCCACTTCCTAAAACGGTAAAAGATTTGCAGAGATTTTTAGGATTTTTAAATTTTTACCGTCGATTTTTACCCAACGTAGCCCAGAATCAAATACATTTAACTTCGTATTTAAAAGGGGCTAAGAAAAATGATAAGACAATCCTGAATTTGTCTGAGGAAGCGCGGAGTGAATTTCAAAAGTGCAAACAGCTAATCGCTAATGCTGTTCTTTTGGCACACCCGAAGAAAGATGCCCAGTTGGTTTTACAGGTTGATGCGTCAGACTTCGCGATCGGTGGAACGCTATCACAAATAGTTGATAGAAATTTACAGCCTCTCGCATTTTTCTCACGAAAGCTTTCGCAGGCGGAAAGGAACTATAGTGCGTATGATCGAGAGCTATTGGCAGCTTATGCTGCTATTAGGCATTTTAAGCATATGTTGGAAGCACGGAACTTTTCTTTAATCACCGATCACAAACCGCTCACGTATGCATTCCAACAGCGTTTGGATAAGTGTTCACCTCGTCAGGCTAGGCAGTTAGACTTTATCTCACAATTCACCACTGAAATTCGCCATATAAAAGGTTCGGAGAATATCGCTGCCGACGTACTTTCACGTATAGAAGTAATAAGCATGCCTAACCCTATCGACTATGAGGAAATCGCTAAAATGCAAGAAATCGACACAGAATTACAAACATTGCTTAAAGAGTCAAAAGTTCTACATCTCAAAAAAGTTACCTTACCAAATTGTAGCTTACCGATATATTGCGATGTGTCAACAGGTAACGCCCGTCCTTACATTCCTCCGGCATTCCGGGAGAAAGTTTTTGACACCTTGCACAATTTGTCTCACCCCGGCATTCGCGCATCAACAAAGTTAGTATGTTCACGGTTTGTTTGGTCTTCCATCCGCAAAGATTGCGCGAAATGGGCACGGCAGTGCATACCGTGCCAGAAAGCAAAAGTAAGCAGGCATACTAGAACCCCGTTAGTGAAGTTTCCAGACCAATCACAGAGGTTTGATCACGTCCATCTTGACCTTGTCGGTCCCCTACCTCCTTCTCAAAATAATTATTACTGTCTAACTATGATAGATAGATTTACTAGATGGCCCGAAGCAGTACCATTACCAGACATAACAGCACGCACAGTAGCACAGGCTTTCTATGACCACTGGATTACTCGATTTGGTTGTCCGACTGTTATTACTACCGACCAAGGGCGACAGTTTGAAAGCGGCTTATTTCGAGCCCTTTCCCAATTATTGGGAATCAAGAGGATCAGGACGTCTCCGTACCACCCACAGGCGAATGGACTGATCGAGGAATTCCACCGTCCTTTGAAAGCTGCCTTAAAAGCGCACAATACCAGTGACTGGGTGGCTGCCCTTCCAATGCTGCTGATGGGTTTCCGCGCCGCTCTCAAAGAGGACATAGGAGCAACCACTTCTGAACTGGTGTATGGAAAGACTATCCGTCTCCCAGGAGAATTTTTCAATCCGACACCTCCGGATGCGTCCCCCAAACAGTTTGTGGAGGATTTAAAATCTCACTTTGCCAGTGTCCGCCCGACCACGACTTCTAGCCACGGCCAGCGAACATGTTTCATTCATCCACGCCTTCACAAGTCCACATATGTGTTTGTTCGACACGACGGAGTTAGAAAACCACTTATGATGACCACTAAACTCCTTATGATGGACCATTTAAGGTGCTAGAAAGACGAGATAAAACATTTGATCTCGAAATAAAAGGGACTAAGCAAACGATCTCCATAGATAGACTGAAACCCGCTTTTGTAACCATGGACTCTTCTCAAGTTGCTTCCAAGAGTGTGAAAAAAACTTCGGACAATTGTATCACCCGTTCTGGACGATTAATCCGACCCCCGCATCGGTATGTCACATTTCGTTGACACTGCGGAGGGAGTATGCAGCGGCAGCGCCAAAAAACAGGCGATACGGACTTAAAAACTGTACAGAAAAAGCGCCAATTGGCGAAACAGTAAACCCGTTTGGCAAACCTACAGACTGACGGAGAGAGAAGATTTTTCCCCGGCAGTCAAGTGGAACTACTTCAACAAATGTGTGCGTCTCTGCTTCGCCGAAATATGTGATCTTGTGTACTCGCATCTGTACTGTGCTCTGAATTTCTTAAGCCATTATAATGTACCCGGCAACTGTTACTTTTCCTTATTAAATTTGATTATTAATTGTAACATGTCTATCTTAACTAAGATTTCGGCTTTCCTAGTTAATGTTAGGGATATTTTCGTATGCACGTGTTACTCACACGTACATCATTCTAATTAGTAGGTCTCACTCCAGGCAAGCGGCAGCGGTGACAACAGCCAGTCTTTTGTAATGAATCATGCTGATTATGATTTTACTTCTCATTTTAACCTGTGCTGCTTAACATGAAAATCTATGTGCTATTTACTAAACCTGTAGACTGAGCAAGTATGTGACAAAAATATGTTTTTTTACTATTTTGTGTACGTCTGTGCTTGTATAATTTGAAGCTTTGATATACTGTTTTTATTTATGAATGAAAAACTGAAAGTACGTACCTTTATTTGATATTATCTTTAGTACGTATCTTTATTTGATATTATCTTTAATTAAGCCTAAGCACACTTGAAATGAAACTACTTGGTTACACTTATTCTTAAAAAAAGGTAAATATTTTTAAATTCTGGACATATACTAAAATCAGAGTTTGACTTATTTGACAAAAAGCTAAATATTAATTCAAAAAAGACTTATTACACTTTTTACCCTAACATTTATATTTTTGATATATTCTAAATTTTGATTTGCCATTGGTTATAAAAGAAATTGTTAAGATAAGTAATGCATGCAGTTTTAATACGACAAGCATTTACAAGACTGATAAAGACTGTTTGTTTGCCATTAATTTTCAATGAAGAGGCTTGATATGTCTGAAGAAAAATTGCATAATTTTCAAATTGTTTCTGAAGAACCTCCCATTTGTCTTCAAAATGCTGTGCATTTTACGTTTCAGTTGACTTTAAAAAATTGTTTAACTTCAGAAAAGCTCAATTCACTTTTTACACAATATTAATTTAATTAAGATTTCTAAATAAAGATTTTATAAAATGCCTTTGTAATTCATGACATAACCATTTAAAGAATATCTCAGTTTGCATTATTACATTGGCAGCAGCATGAATATTCATTTTTCTTTTCGTCCGACGGCGCTTGAATTAGCGATCTGTTTCATCAATCCAATAATAATAAAAAAGAAAATACATTTTTTTAAATATTTACGAAGGATCCACGATGAAGACCTGAAAAGTACTCAGTATGCCACAAACAGAGCAAAGAGAGTAACAGCATATTGCAATAATTGTAAGGGCAAGCTGGCACTTTGTTTAGCTTGCTTTAAAAAATTGCATACAAAAAATTAATAATTATATTTAACTTTTAAGTTGTTTTGTATTGAATGTTTGATTATAATGTTGAAATGTTAATGTATGCTGTTGAATAATTAAAATAAAAATTTGTACTATATATATTATATATACAAGCGTGAACCATTGGTGAGTCATGCCGGGCACGGAACAATCAAGCATGACCCACTGGTGGGCCATGCTGCCCCACAAAACAATTATGACCCACCAGTGGGTCAGGCTAGCGTCACCGTGTTAATATATTTTATAATTTGTATAGGAAGGCAAAAATTAGAGTTTTTATGAATTATTCTACTTAAATATTCCCATTTCTCATTATGTAAGATCATATTGTTTGTATTGCAGGACGTGGACTGTTGTATTGTGGACATGGACATAGTTCTTATGGACTGTTTTAAAAATATGTCAATTTTTTGTTACATATATTGGGATTTTCATATAATTTAATATAGCTTGTAAAAGTTCAGTTAGATTAGAAGATATACATTTAAGAACTTATGATACTTTCCAAAAGCATTGTAAAAAACTGTTAGTTTCATAAATCTCCTTTAATGCCTCTGGTGGTGTGGGAGGTTGAATTTCTCATTTTTCTAGTACAGATGATTTTCTAGTTTAATCTGCAGCTAAAGTGTCAAGCGTCTGCAGCTTGAACAGTGAGCCACTATAAATCGAATCACTCGGTGTAGAATTTAAAAGCGGTTCGGTAAAAGTTACACTCATTGTATAGTAAGGTTCAGGTTTAGTATCGAAAAAAGTGAAAAATGTATGAGCATTTTCCAATTTTGAATTCCTAATTCCATTATTACTAATGAATCAAGTTAATTTTATACACATTTCGGGACATGTATTATCTTCTATTCTAATTGAGCTATGCTAAATTTGCTGTATGTTAGTGGTCTCATGCTGTGATTCACTTAAGCGAATAAAATCTAATTTTTGTTATTGATTTTATGATCACTTAAAGAGATGCTTGAGCAAAAAAATATCATGAGAAAGACTAATCATATTCTCTCCCCCCCCCAAAAAAAAAATCCTTAGTACCTCTTAAAGCTAACATTCCGAATTTAATGCATCACATTATTGAAAAGCATTTAAAATTGGGTAGTAGCATCATAAAGCACTGGAGGAAAGAATGTCATGAGAGGAACTTTCTAAAGGAACCTGGCTTGTATTTTATATTATGTGATGGAAAAGCCAAGGAGATTAAAATAAAGGATTCAAAAAGCATACAGTTGATTTTCAGTTTATCAACTCTGTGATTTAACAATATATTGACTAAATGTAAGTTTTCACTAAACTAGCCCAGAATGTATAAAATCAACAACAAATGATCCTCAGTTTAGCAATATTTTTTCTTGAACAATAATAAATTATTGTTCACTGTTATTTTTACTCCTGTATTGGAAGTAAAGGAAGTACTGTACTCGTGAAAATTTTCAGTTATCAGATTTCAATGGAAATATCCATTTTGACTACTTTTTTTGCATGATGATTAAGAATAATTTCACAAAAAGAAAAAGTAATTACACTGTAATATCACTTATTTGTTTTATATAACACTTTGAAATAGAAGAAATGCCGTCCACGTGACAACACAGCACACATCACTCAAAGCACTGTAGCAATTTAAAAAAAAAATAAAAAAAAAAAAAAAAATAGAACACATAAACCACATATTTAAAAAGTATTAATTACCATAGCAACTACAATTTAATCATCAGGCAGTAGTGCCATCTATTGTAGCAAATACACACTAGAAATTACTCAGAATTAGAAGTACTAAACATAGCCCCCCCCCGGCCTTCTAAGGTTTAAAAAAAGACAGTTTTAGCATACATAATAACATTAACAAAAAATTGATTGAAAATATAACTAAAATTAAAGTTCAATAATATGAGAAAAGTCCATAGTTCATATTAGTCTTGATTGAGGATAAGACACAATTTATTAATAGCTCATTTGAAATCACCAGCGGCTGTATAGATTGTAGCCACTCTAACTTTTTTATCTCTGCCTGGATGAATTAAGACAATTCTTCCAATTTTCCATTGGTTTGGAGGCAGTTGTTCGGTTTTGGTCAGAATTAAGTCACCACATTTTAGATTTGGAGATGCACGAAACCACTTAACATGTTGTTGAAGTGTTGCTAAATACTCTGCACACCATCGTTTCCTAAAATGTTGCACAGTCCATTGAACTAAAGACCAATGTTTAAGTCTTGAAGATTTCACATCACTCAAGTCAGATTCAGGAATGGCAACCAAAGGGGCTCCAATCAGAAAATGACCTGGAGTTAATGCACTTAAGTCGTTTGGATCACTAGACATCGCACATATGGGATGGGAATTCATACACGCTTCCACTTGTGTAAGCACTGTTAAAAATTCCTCATAAGTTAGAAGTGTGGATCCTAATACTCATTTAAGATGAAATTTCATGGATTTCACATTAGATTCCCACAAGCCACCAAAGTGAGGAGATGTCGGAGGATTAAATAACCAAGTTATACCTTCTGAGGTAATGTAGTTGCATACTTCACTGCTTTTTTCGATGTGAGCTGCATTTTTGTAAATCTCCTTCAGTTCCTTACTAACACCTTTGAAGTTAGTAGCACAGTCACTCGAAATTTCAGATGTTTTGCTTCGTCGGGCAATAAATCTTTTTAGAGCTGCTAAAAAAGTTGAAGTTGATAGATCAATGACTAACTCCAAGTGTACAGCTTTTGTTGAGAAACACACAAAAATGGATATGTAACACTTGAAAGTGTCCCAACTTCGGACTTAATTGAATATGGACCAGCATAATCAACACCAGTGACTGCGAAAGGTCTTTATGGTTGAATTCTGGGCGAGGGTAAATCACCCATTATCTGGGTCACAGTCTTTGATTTCTAATACAAGGAATACATCTGTGAATTATCATTTTCACTACACTTCTCACCGAAAGAATCCAAAACTGTATTCGTAAAGTGCTCTTGACTAGCATGTCGAGTAAATAATTGACATGGTAATGAGTTGCGATGGGATTAGTGACATGTCCTTCTTTTGGAAGCAAATTAAAATGTTTGCTATTTTCAGGAATGTTTGCATTTTTTAACTGACCACCTACTCGAATGACGCCTTCTTCGTCAAGGAAGTGAGTTAATTGTATTCTCTCAATATTTTTAAACAAGAGAGCTTTTGAGGAAAATAAGATTCTTGACACTTTTTTGGTAGCTAATCAAAGCTCATCAGTTGTCAAACGATTTTCGGAGGAGTTTCGACAGTTGTAAATGAATCTTGGGCATAAAGCAACTATACGACATAATTTTGTCCAAGATGAATACCGTTTAAAAATGACATTTTCCTTTACTATACAAGATACTGAAAGGCACGTTTTTCTGTCTTCTCTAAGAACTCCTTCATAATCTACATCAGCACAAAGATGTTCGCTGTCAGTACATGTTTCGAAATCTTGTGAATAACGAAGTAGATCCCATGAAACATCGCACACAATTCAGAAATTTGGCTGGAAACATTCCTCTTGTACCTGAATCAGCTGGGTTCATTGATATGGTTCCACCTTACATGAGGAATTGTATTCTGTATTTTGGCAATGCGGTTTGCAACAAAGGGAACCCAGTGGTATTTTGGTTCTTCAGAAATCCAGGACAGTACAACAGTCGAATCTGTCCAAGCGAAAACATTACGTATAGGAAGCTCTAAATGTTCTAACACTGATTTAAGTAAATTCACTAACAAAACTGTGGTGCATAACTCTAATTGTGGTAGTGATTGCACCTTCAGAGTGGCAACTCTCGTTTTTGATGTTAAGAGTGAGACTTTGATGTCCAAATTACGTGACACTGAACGCAAATAAATTGCTGCACAGTAGCCTTTCTCAGAGGCATCACAAAATGCACAAATATCAATATAGTTTACGTCAGGAATCAAAACAAATCTTGGTATTTTTAAATGAATAAGATGTAAATCATTTCGGAAACTCTTTCATTTGTAGCAAATTTATCACTAACAGGTTCATGCCACAATAAATGGAATTTCCACATGTATCAAGATTTTGACATAAATAATACAAGGACCAAACCAACCCAATGGGTCAAATATTTTCCCTAAATCAGAAAGGATATCTCTTTTAGTGTATTTAAACTTTTTTCCAGAAATGAACACAAAAAAGTTTAAAGTAGTCTTCATGGGGTTCCAATTAATTCCTAAAACTTTGAGCTATTGTCTTGAATTTTCATAGCCTCAAACTCATTTCTCAACTCCTTATGTATATTCTCTAACACTGACAAGTCATTGGATGGCGCAGAAGAAATCCTCCACGTTCATTCACAAGAGTTGATTTACTAGATTTTTGCAATCTCCATCTATGTGCGTTCGTGAAAAAACAAATGTGTGACACGGTTTTCTCAAGGCAGGTTCAGGCATGCGCAATTCTTCTTACTGACATCATGGTGGAAAAGGTGAAATAACAAGTTTGATAGGATGAAGGGGTAATGCTCTGTTCTGCAAGAGATGGCGGGTTCGAATCTCGCTCGTGGAGTTATTTTTAAAATTCAGGGAAAATAATATTAAATTCAATAAAAATTAAAGGTAATAATTAAAATAATGGCATACTAAATAATTAAAATACTAATTAAAAAGAGTAAATGATGAAAAGCAATTAATATGAAATAATAAATTAAAATTGATGTGATCCCAAACACGTGGTTCAAGAGTTCGTTGGCACAAAACCAGAAAAATATTGTTGCCACAGAATAAAAACGAAACTATGATGATGTCGTTCCATCTACATCGTGATCTAAGATGGTGGAGACCACACCCTCTTTCTGTGATGTCACTTCCGCCGGCCGGGTACGCCCGCTTACTACTGTGCATCATGCTTCCAGTGCTCATATCAAATTAGTGATTGTTTAATGCTTGATTTTGAAAAGCTCTATGTTGCACTGCCCTATCTTGAAATAAAATGCTTGCGCAGTAGCTGAAAAAATTAACAAATGCATTAATGGTCACAATATAATTTTATTTTAGTTACAGAGCCCATTAATTGTGTTTTGCAAAGTACAAATATTTTTTAAAAGGTTAAGTTTTATTTACATACTAGCTGTGGTACCCGGCTTCGCTCAGGGAGTTCATATGATATTGTGTGGTAGTTGGAATAAAAGGATAAACAGTTAAAATATAAGAGGTAAAATTTTCTTATTGAAAACTTATTCTAACTATTTACAATATTTGTTTATAAGCAACATTTTTCATTTTGTTATCTGGTGTATTATATGTACAAATGTTTCGAATTTCCTACTCGAGAGCAAGCTACGTGTAGCTGACCGTGAGAAAAGCAGGTGTATTTGAGGTTGATGCTGCAATGTTTTAAAGTTTGCCCTTGCGCTTTGTTAATTGTAAAACTATAGGTTAATTTGATTGGAAATTGCAGTCTTTTAAATTGGAATGACAATTCAGTGGTATTCTGGGGATATATACTGTGTGTCCTTTATACTTTCGAGCCATAAGTTTGGCTTTGATGATGCTATTCGATAGCTGTTTGACGACCATCCTTGTTCCATTACTTAGTTTTGGTGAGTTGAGATTTCTGAGTTCGTTGGAGATCCAATGTTTAATCGAAGGCAATGATATTCCTAGTACTTGTAAAAATTCTGTAGGCAAGTTAACACTTTCTTAAACGTTTACCATCGTGTCAATCGATCTGTATATTCTCTCTTCACCAGGAATTTTCTTTTGAATATTAAAGTTGATGTCGTCTAAATATTATTTTTAGTTGCCAAAATTGCCCTTTGAAATAATCACCACGGATTGCTATAATTGTGAACAATGTTTGGATGAATTTGGTCAATGAGTTCGTTTTCAGTTAGTGGCTATGTTGCAGAAATTCACTGTTGAGTTCAATGAGGCCTGTTGTCTGGTCAGTAGGATATGTGCCTTCACCTATTTCTAAGTTTTTGAGTAAAATATGCTGCTGTTTCACTTTTCGATAGTTTATCTATCTTATTTTTGTTAGTTGCAGTATTTGTATGTGTGGCTAGAGATGTGGATTTTTTTTAAGCATGCATTGATTTCATCTGCTAGTGTTGACTTGGGGATAACTGGAAGTGTGTGTCGAAAATCTCTTGAGAGTATGAGTAGAGCACCTCCCATCACTTAAGAGTTTCCTCTCAACTCCCGTAATGGTCTGATCATGCCTTCGAGTGATTTTTTATGTGTCATTGTACATTCGTCCCAGAAGATAATTTTAGCTTGTTTTATAAGTTCACCCCATCCAGATGCTCTTGAGATTTTACATACCGGGAATTGTTCTTCGGCTATATTCAATGGTAGTTGTAGGGTGGAATGGGCAGTTCGTCCTCATTCCATAAGTGTGGCGGCAATGCCGGATGATGCAGTACGAGTGCAATGTGCTGTTTAGCACGCATTCCTGCCAGCAATAGATTTATTAGAAACATTTGCCACCTGTTGTGTCCAAGTAAATAATTCCGCCAGTGTTGTTGATCCGGTCTATAATAACGTCGTTTTATTATTATTGTCATTGAAGAGTGGTTTGTTGTGAGTAATGTATTGAAGTAGTTCATTGATGTTGTAGCTGTTTTCCTCTGTAATTTCGAAGTTCAGCACACTGAAAGCATA